TTCTCAGCATTGCACATCTACCAATTTTAGGTGGGGTTTTGCATTGCTGGACTGGAACTCAGGGTGTCTGGCACACCAGGGCAGAGTTCTACCTCCACAGCCAAGCCCTTGTAATAAAGCAAGCCTTAAAGGAAATCCATCTGAGAAGCATAATATATGGAATTGCCTGGCTATCAACTTCTTAGGGTTAGCCGATGGATGTGATTGTTTCCTGTAGGGAAGCAGATGTGGGGAGTGGATGAAGCCTGGGATCTGTAGAGATGTCTAGGTATGCTTCATGTAGATGCAGAGTCTCCACATAAGAGCAGGTGGAGGAGGCTGGTGCACTTGTCCAGCTTTGCCTGGCACCTGCTTGTACTTTAGGGCTCTTAAAGTCAGGGAAGTATGGCAGCTTATTCAAGGCTTTGCCCAATTATTGTCTTTATAGGCTTATTCATGTTAACATAATTTCTCTATTGATTCTTTGGGAATTCCCTGCACCCTACTTCCTCTCACCTCCCAGTTCCCCCATACCCTCCCGTTATCTCTACAGTGCCCCCCCAAAGGAAAACTTAAAAAATTAAACAAACAAAGCAAGCAAACAAACAAGAACAAAACAAAAAACAAAACCTCCTCATTTCTCCTTCTATTCCAATTCTCCAGCACCTCCTCATTTGTCCTGGTGCATTGGGGGGGGGGGTAAGTTCCATAATATAACCTTTTGTACAATCAGCTTTACTAGCAAATGTTCATTGCAATGAGTTGGTCTGGTTCAAGGCCTCTGGTTTCTGGTACACCATCATCATCACTGGATCCTCTCTGAAACTTCTCTGTGATATCCCAGGGCCGGCCAAGTCATGGAGATCCTGTGGGTATTGTGCCACAGGACAAGTCCTCTCAAGAACTCCACCAGGTCCTAGGTGGGGTAGATGCTAATGTGGGCCAGCCAAGGCCCAGCTGAGGGCCTGAGTCCTAGCTGAACTGGTCATTCCGGGGCACTGGGACCACCTGCTTCAGGTGAGGGGCAGTCAGTTCCCATATGCCCATGCCCTCAGGGTCAGTTGATCCTGCCTGTGGTGGGGGTGGGACCATTGCTCCCAAGAGCAGGAGTCTGCTCTCCCCTGAGATACAGGGCCAGCTCTCGCTGTAGTGTCCAGAGAGGCAGGGCCAGCTTTCCCAGGTCCAGCAAAGGGCAGGATTGGCTCAGAGTGGCCCTCTGATCTCCTCTGTATAGATTCTTTCTCCTTAGAACCAAATTAGGACCTTTGTAACAAACCCAAAGAGAGAACGTGCTTTAATGATGATGCTGCTTTTGAAACTGTGTCACAGCCTGTCACACAGTCTGACCCAAACTTCTGGAGATACTCCTTCTGGCTTCTAGAGAGCTGAGGTTGCAGGTGTGCACCAGTGCATCACAGTTATAATTTATTAGTTACAAAGAAAAGCACAGGTTATTTTCCAAGCCTTGGATTAGTCAGGGCTCCCCAGAGGTGAATCAATCAATAAACATGTTCATCTATCATCTCTACATATTAGGTGATTTAGTAAATCAGCTATAGTGTTAAAATAGTAACAACACTTGATCCTTGAGGCTGGGAACCTCAGCAGACCCAATCTGGTACTGCAAACCTAAAAGATTCCTGGAGGCCCACTGACGATTTAGTCCATGACGGAAGCCTGGAACTTCTGGTGCCATACTGAAGAAAGAATCAGCAACAGCTATAGAGTAAATCAGCCAGAGCAGGCAGAAAGCCAAGGCAAAGGCCAGTGGCCATCCCTGTCAGAAGGTGCTCCCACATTCAGGGGTGAGTCTTCCCACATCAATGAGGCAATCAGGACAGCTCTTCAGGGGAGGCTCCCTACACAGGTGATTCTAACTGTGGCAAGTGACATTCAACCAACTATAGTAAACCTTTTCTTTGCATCTTGGTCTGTCAGCCTGTCTTTGGCAAGGCTTTATAATTTCCACACCTCAACATGTAGACTTCTTAGAGCTCAGGTTTTAGCATCTGGGATTAGTGGAGCCAAGACATATCGCAAGGACATAGTATCTACCACCTGGCCACTTCTCAGGCAGATTATGAAGACATCAGCTCAATGTTCTCTGGAATAAGGCATTTGCAAGAGAATTTAGAGCAGCAGATAGGGGTGGACAAGATGAATCACTGCTCCCTCCTTCCTGTCTCAAGTATCCCAGGCTGGCCTTGAACTATGTATGCAGTTGAGGGTGACTCTGAACTTCCTGCTTCAACCTGTTGGGAGCTGAGATTACAGATGTGGACCACTGGGGCCAGTTATGCAGCAGTGGGGATTGGATCCAGGACTTGGTACATGCTAGGTGAAACACCATGACCAAAAGCAAGTCAAGATGGTAAGTGTACTTGGCTTACACTTCTACATCATAGTCTATCACAGAAGGACGTCAGGACAGGAACTCAAACAGGGCAGGAACCTGGAGGCAGGAGCTGATGCAAAACCATGAAGGGTACTGCTTACTGGCTTGCTCAGTCTGCCTTCTTATATAACCCTGACCACTAGCCCAGGAATTTTCCCACTCACAATAGTCTGGGCTCTTCCCCATCAATCGCTAATTAAGAAAAAAGAATTTTAAAGTACCAAGCATAAGAAAGGAAGGAAGGAAGGAAGAAAGGAAGAAAGGAAAAGAAGAAACTACTGAACTTTTCAAGGAAAAAAAAAAATACACTAACTGAATTACAATGCATCAACTGAAAAAAGCAACCTAAATTTCAATGTCAAAATGTGGGGGGCAAAGTCCATCTTGGATACAGAGACTTGAGCATGTCTTCGCTCGGTTTGCTCTCCTCTGTGTGTCACTGATCTGGTAGCTCAAGACACCAAGTCATGCTTGTAAATTTTAGTTCAGGCAGTGGGATATGTCTATCCTCCAGTCACTGTTGGGGCCTGAGACTGACATTTCTCTTCCATTCAACACTCATCAAACTCCCAGGAGAGAGAAGACACAAAGCTACCACAGGGTCTGTGCTACAGAGCAGCCAGAGTCTTAATAGACAAATTTGAAGATCCAATCGACCTTTCTAACTTTGCTAGGACACATGTACCGAGAAGAGCATACTTCCTAAGTGTCATCCCAATGGACTGACAATTGTAGTTACCACTCAAGTGGAATGACTTTTCAGCATCTCAGATGCCCCTCATGACTCTCCCAAAAGGCAGTCTCTACCGGATTCTACCACTACCCATTTGTAGGCAGATTGCTCATTGGGATCATAGGCTCCCCAATAATGACATGGAAACATTATTAATTATGAAAATTCCATCAATAGCTTAGGCTTGTTTCTAACCAGCTCTTATAACTTGAATTGACCCATTTCTATTAACTGATTTTCCTGCCTGGTGGCTTTATTACTCCATCTCTGTATTTATTGCCCATCCTGCTTGCTCTGTGCCTCCTGGCATCTCTGCCCTTCTACTTCCCATTGTCCTCTGTGACTGGGACCCTGCCTAGCCATTGCCATTAAACCAATCAGAGTGACAGCCTTCACAGTGTACAAAACGATTATTCCACAACACCCATCGGTTCAGTCTGAGTGTTCTTATCTACAGCCCCAAGGTTGTGCATCTTACATTTTTAGATTAGAAGTTTCACTATGAGCCTCATGCAGTTCACACACACATTCCCCCAGCTAGAGAACAGTTCTGCTCCTAAGCATGTCTGGTCAGAATTACTCAACTTATGTGTAATTTGCGAAATTTATAGACATAAAATCATACATTCTACATTCTCTTCCCACCTTCTGTGATGTTACCAGTATTGGCTTCATTTTTTTTTTTTTTTTTTGTTTTGGTGTGCCCTTAGTAAAACATGCATATTCATCATAGTGTGAACATCTGTTTCCTAATATTTGTGGTAAAAAACAACTTCCAGGTCTGGTGCCCACATCAGACACTCTGTGAGGTCTGTATCTGGGAGTCAAATCTAAGTTACAAGGTACAACTTCTAGGGATGACTTCAAACCCACAGAGAGGACTCTGCCATGGGAAACTGGCATGACCACAGGCCACCAATGGGGCTACCCCCTTCTTAGTCTTCCTGGATGCCCCCTCCACAATTGACAGCCCCCAAAGGAGGGAATCCCGTGGAACATAAAGCCACATTTAAATCAGTGACATGACTCAGAGGATAATGGTGTCTGCCACCAAGGCTGATGACCTGGCTTCAATTGCTGGGACCCTCATGGTAGAGAGAACTAATCCAGCAAGTTGAAATGCAACAGGTCCCTGTCCAGTCTTGGTACAGAGCAGACACCAAGCTTGTGCTCCTCTCCACTCAGTCACCCAGTTGTTAGGGCACAAATCCCACTGTGTGACACCTTTTGGATTTTATTTTATAGTTACGTTGTTAAGATTTACCAGCTGGTCATGGTGACACACACCTTTAATTTCACCACTTGGAAGACAGAGGCAGGTGGATCTCTGTGTGTTCAAGACCAGCCTGGTCTACAGTATGAGTTCTAGGACAGCCAGAGCTACACAGAGAAACCACTCCTCACCCCCCCCACACTCCTTTTTTGAGATAGGATATATGCTACGTCACCCAGACTGGCCTCAAACCCATGATCCTCCTTAGTTTGCCACGTATACATGTACACCACCTCTTCACACCACTCTAGCTATTGCTAGTGTTTTCTACTGTGTACACAAATCTGAATAAACATAAGTGTAAAACAGAACCATTCCTTTCCCTGATAGATTTACACCACTAACCCAAAGAGACCATTGGGAAGAATAAACGGTGAAGCAAATGTGGTTTTTTTTTTATTTTTTGTTTGTTTGTTTTAGGGGGGCATAAAAATTTATGCTACTCCCTACAGTGTCTGCAATACTCATTTATGAATATGGTATAACAATTATGCAGGACAGAAGAACACTAATTAAATATGATCTTATTACAAGTGAAAACTTAACCACCAGCCCCGTATAGTGTTGTGAGTGCAACTCAGGGCCTTGTGAGTGCTGGGCAAACACCACACCCCATGTCCTCTCTTTCCATTATATTAGTGTTTAATAAAGGACAAAAGCAAACAGCAAAGTTCGCCACCTTCCAACCCACCCGTAACGGCTATTTGGAAACAACACCGTAAAAAGGAAGTATTGACTGGAATGTCTGGTCAGTTCTGAGTCATAAAGCACCACATCAGAATGCAAAGTGTTGAGAATTTACAAGTGCTTTTTCTCTAAATTGGCCCCTTGGCAGTATGTCTCCTTCAGTTCCCTCCAGGACTGCCACAGCAGCAGCCCTGGGATCAGAACCCATAAGCCATTAAAAAACACCAAATAGACCCAAAAGTAGAGGTAGCTCTCCGTGTTGAGGTTGGGACTTCCAACAAGCCACTCGGGGAAGAAGGTCATCCAGCCTCCATAGAGTTCACACACGCACAAGGTGATCTGTATGAAATGCCTGTGGGGAGAAGACAGGGTGAAGCTGTATAACTTGGTACTCTGAGTTATGGCATCCTTTATTTAGGGCCACTCTAACAGTCTTTTCTCCCGAAACCTGTGGGCTTCTGTGTGCGGCTTCTCTGATGGACCACATCAACATGGATAGTGAAGATGCATAGCCATCTCTGCCCGCAGAAGCCACACTGCCCTTCCCAGCATTGTTCTAACAGTGTTTAGAGTTCTAAGGACACTTGAGTACCCTGCACCATTCTCGGGAGGACTTAGTGAGGCCACCACTGACCCTCAAAGAGACCTTGCTATGAACTCAACACCAGCCCGTTCCAACTGTTATAAAGATGGCAACTATCCTCCCTCAAAGGGTATTGTGGAGGGTAAATGAAATATTGTAGATAAAGGGTCTTCCTTACCTGTGATTGACACACAGTCAATCATACAACTATGATCAATGTTTGACAAATTTGTAATGTGTCTGCAAATGTATTTAAAGGAATCAAGAACAATCACTGCTAATCATCTGTAAATGTGGTGGGGAGGGGGAGCAAGAGCTGGGAGGACTCTCTGAGATGTCACGATGAAGCTTTACTTCTTGAAGTCCTATGTTAAGCTTTTGCCTTGTGGATAAATGCGCTTGCAACTACATCCAAATGTCATGCAGGCAGCTAACATCTCTCCCTCCCTGCTGGACACGGGTGAACTTACCTATAATATTTCTCCTTGACTATGGCGTAAATTAGAACCAATGCCAAAAGCCCATCCAAGACAACAGTCAGAATTTCCACAGACACAATGGTCGAATCAAAATACAGCCATCTGGCATCAGCCTTGCCGTATTCTTTCCCTAAAGGCAAAATACCTGTGTTTAGTCTCCCAACTGGCAAACATTTTTTGTTGTTAACTTTTTAGGCAGTATACAATGCATGGGCTACAACTACAATAAGGCAATTTCTGTCAACCACATCAGTTTATTTGATTCATACTCACCACCCCATACCCTCTCTGGTCTCGTTACTTCCCTAAACAGAAACTCTCTACTCCCACTCCATATGCAGCTTCTATAGAGATTTGCAGAAATGTGGCACTTGCCCATTTATGGATCGGATGATTTGGGTTTTTTGTTGCTGTTATTTGTTTGTTTGTTTGTGTTTTCCAGACAGGGTTCTTGGTACAGGCTTGGCTGTCATGGTAATGAGTTCTTATAGACACAGATGTCAATCTGTGCTGGCGGTATAGTTGGTAAAGATTATCCTTCCTCTGTGGGCTGTCCTCACTCCTTTCCTGAGTAGGAATTTTTAACTTTTCACAATCTCATTTGCCAATTCTTGCTATTATTTTCTGTGTTACTGGATTTCTGTTTGGAAAACCCTTGCTTGTGCCTATATCTTGAAGTATTTTCCCTACATTTGTCTCTAGCAGTTTAGCATGTCAGGCCTCATGCCTGAGGCCTCAGGATCCATTAGAGCTGGGTTTTACACAAGGTGAGTGGGGCCTGTTCCATTCCCCCTCATGGGTTATTCAATGCTCCTCCCATTATTGTTGAAGAGGTTGCAATCTTTTTTTCCAATATATGTCTTGTCACTTTGTCCAATATCTGGGAGCTGTAGCATTGCATGAGATTTTTTTTTTTTCTGGGTCCTCTATCTTAGCCCATTGGTCTACGACTAGTAAGCCTTTTATGCCAGTTAATGAAAAGGACCGCTGTCTCACAACCTTCCCCATGACTACAGAGGGCAAGGGAAGCACATTCATCTATGTGCACTGTACCCCTGACCCTCTTCATTACAAGTTGCAGGATTTTTAATTAGTTCAACACTGTCAAGTTTTGCAGACACAATATTTAACAATGATGGTTCTAGAGTCTGGGGAGATAGTTTAGTAGGCAAAGCTATGGCCTCACAAAGATGAGGACCTGAGTTCAATCCCTAGCACCCATGTAAAAATGCCAGGCAGGCAACTCATACTTGCAATCGCAGCACTGGTAAGATGGAAACAGGAGGACACAGAAGCTGGCAGGCACACTGGGTCATAAATTAGCAGTGAGCCTAATTGGTGAGCTCCAGGCCAATGAGAGACCTTGTGTGACAAGAGCTGGATGCCATTCCTGAGGATTGCTGAGATTGTCCTCTAGTCTATATGTGCATGTGTGCAGGCTATCGTGCACACATAAGACTAGATGGTAGTGTCTTGTGGAATATTATTTAACTGGGCAAAAATGTGTTACATTTGTTTGTTTTGTTTTGTTTTTTTCCCCCCAGGTTTTTTCGAGACAGGGTTTCTCTGTATTGCTTTGGAGCCTGTCCTGGAATTTGTTCTATAGAGCAGGCTGGCCTAGAACTCATAGATATATGCCTGCCTCTGCCTCTGCCTCCTGAGAGCTGCGACTAAACCAACACCTGGGGTGTTACATTTGTTTATGCTGCATTTATTAAAGATATAAAGATATGTTACATTTGTTTGTGTTACTGAATAATTGTTTAACTACGTAAAGATGTGTTACATTTGTTTATCCTTCATTTGTTTAATTATGTAAAGCCGTGTTGCATTTGTCTCATCTTGCCTGCCTAAGACACCCAGTCTAATAAAAAGCTGAGTAGTCAATAGCTAGGCAGAAGAGAGATATGAGGCTGGTGGGAAGATAGAATAAATAGGAAGAGAAATCTAAACTCAAGAGGAAAGACGAGAGAATGAGTACAAAGAGGGGGACATGCCCAGGGCCAGAAGATAGGCAGCTGCAGCCAGAGCTAGCAGGAAAGTAAAATATACAGAAAGACAGAAAGAAAGACAAAAGGCCCCAAGGCAAATACATAAAGAGAAACAGATTAAAATAAGAGCTAAGATAAGGCTGACCATTCATAACCATTAAGAAGTCTCCATGTCATGATTTGGGAGCTGGTTGGTGGCCCAAAAGAAAGCTTGGTAGAGCAGTATCAAAAACTGTTACTTGTCCTAACCTAGGATCACATGGCAGATGGGCTTCTGGGGTGGGGTGGGGCTGGTGTGACATTAATTGAGGCGGGAAGACCTGCCCACTGTTGGTGACACCATTCCCTGGGCAGGGAACCCTGGACTGTGTGAGAGCTGAGAGAGCAAGCTGAGCGTGAGTATGCAGACACCCACTGCTCTCTGTGCCTGACTATGGCTGTGATGGGACCAGCGCCCACAAGCTCCTGCACAGTGACCTCCTGCCATTGTGGTCTCCTCCTGAACTGTGAGCTGGAACAGACCTTTCTCCTTTTGGTTGCTTCTGTCCGGACATTTCATCACACAACAGGAAAAGAAAATAGGATACACATGCATGAAATCAAAAGGGAAAAAAGGCAGGTAAGAGGGCTCAGTGGGTAAAGGCAACTGCTGCCAAACCTCACAAGCTGCGTTCCCCTGCAAGGACCCACACGGTAGAGAAGAAAACTGATGTCCCACAGGGTGTGCTCTCTCTCTCTCTCTCTCTCTCTCTCTCTCTCTCTCTCTCTCTCACACACACACACACACACACACATACACACACACAGAGGCACACACACAAATTAATTTAAAAAAATGAACTATCTTGCTAAATACATTATACTTACTCAAATACAAAGTTTCTAAGTATAATTTAGATGTGGGGAATTATTAAGGAAATATTTCTTAAAACACATTTTGTGGGACTGGAGAGATAGCTCAGTGATTAAGGGCACTTGCTACTATTGCAGAGGATCCAGGTTCAGTTCCCAGCATCTGCATGGAGGCTCAGAACCACTTGTAGGTACAGTTCTGGGGGACCAGATGCCCTCTTTTAGCCTCTGTGGGTAGCAGGCATGCATGTGTTACACATACATACATTCAGGCCTATAAAAGCAAATAAATCTTAAATAATAAAATGTGTGCCTGGACATAGTGGCACACACCTATAATCCCAGCACTTAGGAGGCCAAGGCAGGTAGATCTCTTGAGACCCTGTCTTCAAAACCCCATTTAGTGATTTTGAATGTCTACTTAGTTTTATTAGAGAGAAGGTTTTACCATATCACTCCAGCTAGCCTTGAACTTGGGATAGTCCTGCCTCTGCCTCTGCCTCTGCCTCCTGAAAGCACCCAACATACTTGCTAACTGACAACAACTGAGTGCTGATGGTCTAGGATGATGCAGCTTGAACTTCAGAGTGAACCAAACATGGACAGTGTTCATCAGCAACAGCCATCCCCTCTAGGCAGTAACTAGAAAGCCGTAATTCAAGACTCTTTGCAGACCCGTGGTCAGAATGTTCCAGAATGCACCAGGAGTCAGGAAGTTTTTCCCTAGTTTGAGAAGAGGGCCATCTACTTTAGAGGCCATTTTTATTCCTGATTTAATTGTTACTTGGTGGGGAATGTTCTTTTGTGTATGTTTGTCTTATTGGTTGAAGACTAAAACACTGTTGGTCAATAGGGCAGCAAGATAGGTGGGACTAAGATATAAGGAGGATTCTGGGAAGTGTAGGCAGAGAGGAGTTGTCATGAGATCCCAGGAAGTAATATAGCTGGGCAGAAACTGCCACTAGCTAACCATAGAGGTCTGGAGGTCTGTACAGACAGGTAGGAAGTGACAAGCTGGGCAGAAAGAGAACATAAGAAGGGGCAAACAGGAAATCGCTCTCTTCTCTTCTCTGTGGACACGGTGAGTCAGTCACCATGTAGGACGCCAGAGGAGTAACAGGTCCCTGAACCTTCTCCAGTACGATAAGACCACATGGAAATACTTAGATTGATAGAAATGAGTTAATATATAAGACAGAGCCAGCCAACAGTTTGATAATTAATATGGTGTCTGTGTGTTCATTTGGGGCTAAAGTAGCAGTGGGCCCTGCTGGACCAGAAAAATTACATAACAGTTACTAGTATTTTTTAAAAAGATTTACTGACAGAGAGACACACTATGTGTGTGTTTGTGTGCATGTGTGTACACACAAGTGTAGATGGATGCCCAAGAGAGGGTGTGGGTACCTTGGAACTGGAGTTATAGGTGATTGTGAACTGCATAGTATGAGTACTGGGAAATGAACTCAGGTCCTCTGTAAGAGCAGCAAGTGCTTTTAACCACCGAGACATCCCTCCAACTCCTAATTTTTCTATTATCCAAAACTCAGGAAAAATCTTTTACACAAAATGTCGATTCTTTAGGAGGACCACAATTAGTGAATGCTTAGATATTAAAAATAGAACTAACCCCAAACTACCATCTCCATTCATTCTGTTTAAAGATGATTATCTTATTGCAGGAGGCACAATGTCTGCAGCTAGAGGTAAGTGCAGAGAGCTGGAGGATGTCTGGAGATGGCAGAGAAGACTGATGGATGGCCCAAGGCAGCCCTGCATCCACCAGACCCTACATGAACCTCTGGAATACCCTTTGCTACTGAACTCCACCCACCATCCACCTTGCTAAACCAGAACAGCCAAGGCTCCAACACCAGGTTAAAAATCATGAGACGTGATCAGTTCTATTTATCTTGTGACTGACAACGGCAGGAGGCAACAGTTCAGAGGGGAAGAGACCAGGCCGGGGCTGGAGGAGGGTCTGAGCCCCACCACTGCTGCATGCCCTGCCATTGGGTGGGGACGAAGGTGGCCTGCAGCCTGAAGCCACGGCCAGCCTCTGGGAGGTCCTGACCTGGATCCTCGGATCAGCAGCTGCTCTTGAGCATTTGCTTTCAAAATAAAAAGGCAGTTCCCCTAAAGATGGAGATGAGGAGAGCCCCTGTCAACCGTTCACTTTCCATGGACTTGACCACATCTGGGCTGTTCTCTTTCTCTGATGCCAAAAGCAGGGCAGCTAGTGTGGAAGCTGCAGCATGCCTTCTGACAAAGGGGACCAGAGGAGCCCCAGGAGGGAGGAGTAGTGATTCAGGCTGGGTCCTCCAGCCCCATGACTTTGCAGCCACCCCCATGCAAAGTTTAACACAGACAAGTTGAGCCTAGCCAGGAGGTGTAGGAGCAGGACTTTGCTCCAAGGGAGCTCAGATCCCTGCCCAAACACAGCACAGAACAGGAGGGATCAAAGATGACACATTCTGTTTTCAGAAGTACTGACTGAATTGAGACACTTCCTTCTTTAGACATTTCCTAACACTCATAGTGAAAAAGAGTGTCTACACAGACCTTGGTGTGAGTATGTGCTTTCAGGACATGACAGAAATACAATAAGGCTGGGAGTGACACAGCTCAGTAACACAGCATGTACTTAGCATGAGCAAGGTCATAGCTCTACCCTCAGCACCAAAAAATAAGATATAAAATAAGATAATAAATTAGGACTGATGAGATCGCTCAGCTGGTAAAGTCACCTGCCACCAAGCCTGATGACCTGAGTTTGATTACTGGGAAACCACATGGTGGAAGGGGAGATCCACTTCCTGAAAATTGTCCTCTGTCCTAGACAGACAGACAGACAGACAGACAGACAGACAGACACACACACACACAGTGAATAAATTAAAATAAAAAATCATAAAGAAATAAGAACTTGAAACACACACCCACATATACTTGCATATACCATACACAGAGATGCTTAATAAATAAAGATAAAATAATTGCGGAGTAAAATTTGGAAAGTAAGGAAAAAGAAAGACAAGCAGCAGACAAGGCACAATTGCAGATGCTAACCCTGAAAGCCAGGAAGAGATGCTGGGTGGCGCCTGCCTCCCTGACTTAACCACCCTGCTATAGAACATCTTGGGAAGTTAACATCACATGGCTAAGGGTTGGTTAGTTTATAGTGAGTGTAAAAAATGGGGAAACTACCTGACAGCTCTATAGAGTAGAAAGAATTTGGAGAATTATTTCCAAGACAGGTATAGACATAATCAATAGCAAACTGGGGGCTAGAGAGGTGGTTCAACAGTTAAGAGTATGCATGCTTTTCCAGAAAACCTGGGTTCAGCTACCAGCATCCACATGGGTCAGTTTATAAATGCCTGTAACTCCAGCTCCAGGGAGCTGACACCTTCCTCTGGCCTCTGAGGACACTGCTCACATACACACACACACACACACACACACACACACACACACACACACACAGACACACAGACACACACACACACACACAGATGAAAATAAAGTTTTACAAAGTAAATTTACATAAAACATGTATGGGGGAAGCACACAGTTTAAGACCTGCAGGCCCTATGGTGTCTTGTCTTTGTTTTACAGGGTTGTGTAGGGGGTCACACATGTTAGGCAAGTGCTCGACCGCTGAGCCACACCTCAGCTGGATACACTCTGTTTACTACAGAGCCTACTGAAATGTAATTCACATGGCACACAATTCCAATTTTAGCACATTCACAGATTTGAACAGACAGAATCTGAGGACATCCCAAAGGAGAAGCCCACACCCATTACCAGTCACCCACTTTCCCTTCCACACCCTGACTCTCATCCCCAGCCCCAGGCAACCATGAATTTGCTACCTGTCTCTATAGATTCACCTGTTCTGGACAGGCCATGTAAATGGAATCATACAACATGTGATAGAGACGTTCAGTTCATCGACAGCCATTCTTGCAATTAATCTCTTCAGACATTTCAAATGCAAATGTTTTTAATTACTCACATAAAGATGCAATCAAGCCTCGGGAATCTGCAACATTTCCTAGTACAGACAAGTAGACAAAGGCGCCTTCCTAGAGGGAAGAAAAGGGAGACAGGTTGTTTAGCCTCATCACCACAGGGCGGCATGGCAGACACACAGCAGGTACTGCAGGACAGAGGCTTCCCCTTCCTCTGTAAGATGTCCACACCTTGGCCAGGAGGACCACACCATGCCATCTCTGGAGGCTAACCAGACTGGGAAATGAATGTGACCAAACAATAATAAACGTTACTTTTTAATGCCTGGTATTATAAATCAGAGGTGTGCTCTTATGTAGAAAAAAAAAGTGAAAATTTCAAGGAGAGTGCTTGACTGTTGCACAAAATAAAAATTTGCTTTAGACCATTCCAAGGATCTTAAATCTTGGAGAAGATTCTTACAGCAGGTTATTTTTTAACCTTAAAAATAAAACGCATGTGGCCGGCAAATGTCTATAGCAGAGTTGAAACCTCTTCCTGTGCTGTGATGGGAGATGTCATTCTATAAATGTTTCTCATACTGGTTAATGAATAAAGCACCGCTGGCCAATAGGAAAGGACGATAGGAGGGACTAGGAGACAAGGAGGAAAGGGGAAGTAGGAAGGAGGAGTCAGGATGGGGAGAAGGGAGAGAACAGAACTGCCTGCCCTGGCTCTCTGGTAAGATGACGTGGAAATGGGTTAATACTTAAGACAGAGCTAGCAGATAAGAAACTAGTACCTGGCCAACAGCATTTTATCTAATACAGAGTCTTGGTGTGTTAATTGAGGCTGGCACGGTGGCGGGACAAGACCACTGGCGGGAGGAAAAAACCTTACTTGTTACAGTGCTGCATAAGGGCAAATTCAGGAAGGCTTTAAACACGTAAAGGCTTTTCATTTAGTGATGAAAATGTCATCATGGAGGTCATCATGGATCCTGGAAGTGTCTCTTTGCCTACACTTCCAAAAGTCAAACAGCTAGAATTCACTGGTCTATTTGCTGTGACAATGGTTCCCTTGACTAATTTTTACTGCAGGTCAATAGCTTTTCCTCGTCACCCCCTTCCCCTAACAGCTTCACATGGCGGGAACACTCTCTGCCCACTCCTTCTCCTCTCTTTGCTACTATGTTTTACCACTTGTGGGGGCGGGCCACCTACTCCTTTAGACTGTTCACCCTGTAACCTTACTCATTTACACCAGTCACACACACACACACACACACACACACACACACACACACACACACACACCCCCGTCATCTCAGCAGTAAATCTGGGCTTGCTCTATTTCATATGATACATACGATAATAAAGCTCTCTTCGTGTGAGAAACTTGTCTTATTTCTTTTCAAAATGCCAGTTATTGGAAAAACAAAACAAAAACAAACAGCATTTATTATACATAGGTATAGCATTTTTCCATTACTTACTCACATTTGTGACTTTAGTAAAGGACTGAAAGCATATGCCCACTCATTTGTATGTGTTGTACAGGCTCCTTACTAAAAGCACAAGAGTTCCTCATGCTTTTACACTCTCATCCAGACTTCAATGACCAACTTCTGTCCATTTTGCTTGCACACAGATTAAATTCCCATCCTGGTTCTGCAAGCATATGTATATGACTTCTCTGTTTTATCTGTGAGTAGATTCTAGAACAGGAAAAGCTACTCAGGCCATTCCTACCATGCACACAGAAGTGGTGTTCACTGCAGTGGACCACGGATTTTTTTTTTCTTTACTGACCCAGTATCTTGACCCTGTATCATTCAGTGGTAAAGTTATGGGTGGAAGGTCCTTCTCTACCTGGATGTCTCAAAAATCACACTGTATTAGTTTGCTTCGCATGTGGGCTGGGACTTACTAACTAGTGAGAGCCATCTGTCTATCCAACAGTTTGTGACTGTCTTTCTCTTTCACAATATCTCATGAAATGTTGTTCAGCCTCTTACCCAACCTAATCTCTGTAAACACAGGCTTTGGAAGCTGGTTTATGTTATCTTTTCTTGACACTCTTTCTGGGTCAGCTAACTAGTAAATGATCTTTGCCTGAGTCAATCTAAAGTGAATTTTCTTTACAGGAGATTTAGGCCAGGCATGGTGGCAAGTACTTGTACACAAGTTCAATGCCAGTGTGGGCTATACTGTGAGTTACAGGCCAGCCAGAGATGAAAGAAAAGAATATGGGGTTGGGGAAGGAGAACAGGAACGGAAGAAAGAAAGAAGTGCGGAAAGAAAGGAAAAGAAAACGAGACTCTCAAGTGTTTAGGACTGAGGACGCAGCACAGCGGCAGGTCACTTGCCTCGTGTGCACAGGGACCTACGTTCCACCCGTACTGCCTAGCAAAACCAAGAGCAGCTAAAGGGCTTTAAGATTTATTTTATTTTTAATTGTATGCCCATGCCTGTCTGTGTGCAGGAGTGCAGGTGCCTGTGGAAGCCAGAAGAGGGCATTGGGCCCTCCTACAGCTGAAGGTTTAGGTGGTTGCTAGGAACCTAGTTTGAGTCCTCTGCAAACACAGAATGCACTCTTAACATGCACTCCTGATTACTGGACTGGATAACAAACCTACCCAGTTAATACACACACACACACACACACACACACACACACACACACACACACACACACGGGGGGGGGGGGTGTATGTAAAACTGAGAGGCCTGGATATGATTAGCAAACTAGCTGGGCGTAGTAGTAAGTGTTTTAGCACAGCAGTTGTCAACTTATGAGTTTCAACCCCTTTGGAGGTTGAACAACCCTTTCACAGGGGTCACTCAATACCATTGGAAAACTCAAGTATTTTACATTACGATTCATAACAGTAGCAAAATTACAGTTGTGAAGTAGCAATGAAAATAATTGTGTGGTTGGGGGTCACCATAGCATGTGAACTGTATTAAAGGGTCTCAGCATTAGGAAGCTTGGGAATCCCTGCATTAGGAGGTGGAGGTAGGAGGATCAGGACAGAAAGCCTCAACTATGTGGTGAGTTTTAGGCTAGCCTGTGATGCATGAGATCTTGTTTCACACCAAAGATCAGCAAACTGCATCAGCCTACACCAGAGTTGTGATAGTATACTGTCATCTCACAAAGCTGCCACCAAGGCCAAGGGAAATAAGTATCAACTATTAGTAACTATGAGATCCTCCCCTTAAAGTAATAGTAAGGGCTGAGAAGTCCCCTCCCTCCCCTCAAGGCACTCCAGAGCTGGTAAACCTTCCCAGCAACCACATTGGCCAGCTCTTTAATTACCATAGCAGCAATCCAAGAAGGGTCAAAGCACTTCCTGTACAAGCTGGGTAACCTGTTTAATCCCTAGGACCCATGTAAAGATGGAAAGAGAACTAAGACCACAAAGTTGTCGTCAGACTTCCATACAAGCACCATGGTACATATACACACATGGTCATAATAATAAAAAACCAAATGGAAACATACTACTGTGAGGCTTCCTAAAACACATACATATAAAAAAATTTAAATGGAGTCAACATGTAATGGAGAAGACAATACCCCAACTAGATATCATATGTTATCAAGTAACCAAACCCCATAACAAGAAGGAGCATTTTTATAAGCTGCTGGCAAAAAGAAACCCATAGGCCCATCAAACTCTATTGCCAGTGCTGCTGGTTACCATCCACGACTTACAGTAAGGCCTTATTGTGGGAGATGCCACATACTTTTGGTCCAGAACACAGACAAATCTAGCTGGTGTTCAACTGGAAGCTTCACCCCTACTGGCTAGTGTCCACAGCGCTAGTGACCATAACGCTAGTGTCCACAGTGCTAGTGACCATAACGCTAGTGTCCACAGTGCTAGTGTCCACAACGCTAGTGTCCACAACGCTAGTGTCCACAACGCTAGTGTCCACAGCGCTAGTGTCCACAGCGCTAGTGTCCACAGCGCTAGTGTCCACAGCGCTAGTGTCCACAGTGCTAGTGTCCATAACGCTAGTGTCCACAGTGCTAGTGTCCATAACGCTAGTGTCCACAGTGCTAGTGTCCACAGCGCTAGTGTCCACAGCGCTAGTGTCCACAGTGCTAGTGTCCATAACGCTAGTGTCCACAGTGCTAGTGTCCACAGCGCTAGTGTCCACAACGCTAGTGTCCACAACGCTAGTGTCCACAGCGCTAGTGTCCACAACGCTAGTGTCCACAGTGCTAGTGTCCATAACGCTAGTGTCCACAGTGCTAGTGTCCACAGCGCTAGTGTCCACAACGCTAGTGTCCACAACGCTAGTGTCCACAGCGCTAGTGTCCACAGCGCTAGTGTCCACAACGCTAGTGTCCACAGCGCTAGTGTCCACAGCGCTAGTGTCCACAGCGCTAGTGTCCACAGCGCTAGTGTCCACAGTGCTAGTGTCCATAGCGTTAGAAGGTGCTGTGCACACTACCAAACAAGACAAATAATTATCAATGTTATCCAGCTGTGAAACCAGTGAGGGAGAACATGAAGTTGGGTGAGTGAGGATGGGGGCTGGATGATATGGAAGGAATTGAAGGACAGCAAAGAATATTATAAAAAATATAACATATGAAATTCCCAAAGGGGAAAAACAGAAACCAAACCAAAACATATCACCCATGCCCACCACATCCTGCACAGCTCAGCCGTGTTAGCCTGATAGGTAGGTGATGAGGGAATGAAGAAAGATACAGACACTCATATCTGGGAGTGCCATCAATGCTTTCCGTACACTCTCTCAACATTCACACATGGACCATAGGAAGGCTGTGCTAATTCCCTGAGCCTGACCGGGGAAAGGCTTTGCCATTTCCATAGATCTGGAGCACTGGAGTCCTTGACACAGCCTTGTCCCTAATAAATACTCACTCGGGGCTTCCTCTGCTCCCAACATATGCCCTTAAGGTAAATAGCCAGGCATCAAAATGCCCATCCTGCTGTCCCAGGGTCTATATGGCATACGTTGGGCAAGTTTTCTCTTATTGTCTAACGAGGTCTGTAGAAGGTTGCCAAGACATTTATTCCAAGTTCACTTATTTAAAAAAGTTAAGGTTCTGGATATCAAAATAGTTGACCTAAAAAGTGGGATATTTCCTA